TCCAGTGCCCCTGAGTTCAATCCCTGGTATCAAAAAAAAACAAAGTCAAACCTACTTGTCTCTTATTCCCAAGGAGAAGAGGAGGCGGCCTCTGAGTTACAAAGACTGAACATAAAGAAAGACGGTAAGGAAACGCTGTTCCCAAGCCCGTGTGCCCGGCTGCTCCAGGCTGCTGTGGGGACAAAGTGACTGGTGGCCTAGGACAGTAGTGACCATAGTCCTGCAGTGGGCAAAACCCTCAGCCCTGAATCACCCCAAGAAGCTGCGACAGTGACTCTGATTTGATGCAGATGTGGATGCAGTTGCTTTAGAAGATGTCACACACCCTTCCCTTCCCCTCCTACCCCTCTGCCCTATCTAGAGTTCCTCTATTCCTCCTATGCTCCCCCTCCCTCCCCCACTATGAGTCAGCCTCCTTATATCAGAGAAAATATTCGGCATTTAGTTTTTGGGGGGTTGGCTAACTTCACTTAGCATTATCATCTCCAACGCCATCCATTTACCTGCAAACGCCATGATTTTGTTCTTTTTTATCGCTGAGTAATATTCCATTGTGTATATATGCCACATTTTTTTTTTATCCATTCATCCCCTGAAGGGCATCTAGGTTGGCTCCACAGTTTAGCTATTGTGAATGGTGCTGCTAGAAACATCGATGTGGCTGTGTCCCTGTAGTATGCTGTCTTTTTTTTCCTGAGAAAATAGATTGGGGAGAACATCTCTATCAGGAATGCATTTTGCATTGCTGAGAAATCAAGGGAGGAAGAAAGAAGAAAAAAAAATGTTTGCTCATGCCCCTCACGTCCAGGTTGTCTGTCTCCAGAGAGACCTAAGTCGGATGCTTTCTTCTTACACAAAGTCTAGTTCTGCCTGATGGACATTTTCCCCCTAAAGCGTAACTGACTTCAGAGCCAAGAATGTTCTAGAAATATTCATTTCGATTTTTTTTCCCCCTAGGAGCAAACAATTTTGCCCCTCCCCACCTTCCTTTTACTTGCTTTCAAAATGCCCTTGATAGCCGTGGTTTGCAACATTCGTGTTGTCTGGGGACACTTTCCCATCCAAGAGCCTATCATTGACCTTGAGTTGTATCCATCAGAACACGGAGGCTCAGAGAGGTCAGGACAGTGGTCCAAAGCTTCAGAGCACATCAGAGTCTGTGCTGGACATTTCCTGCAGCCTTGGCACCCCACTCGGGGAGCTGACCTTGGTCACTTTTGTAACTTTAAACATGGCGTGTGTGTGTGTGTGTGTGTGTGTGTGGTTTGTCTTTTGGTCCTGGGGGATGGAACCCGGGGGCTTTTTAACACTAAGCGACATCCCTCACCCTTTTTATTTTTTATGATTTCGAGAGAGTTGTGAAGATGCTGAGGCCGGCCTCCAACTTGTTGATCCTCCTGCTTCAGCCTCTTGAGTTGCTGGGGTGACAGGTGTGCACCACCGTACCTGGATCTCATTGCACACTTTTACAGTTTTGGGGGGGTGGAAGTTTGGGGGGCCCTAAGTCACCAGTGAGCCTTGGCAACTTAGCAAGACCCTGTTCTATAC